CCCCAGATCCCTGTTCCTCCTCCTTACATCAGTTTGCAAGGAGGTGACCTGTGTTCATTGAGTCTCCCAAAAGTCATTGATATATTGTTGAAGGCCTCGGAAGAGAGGATGTGTGTCCGTGAGTGGATCTATAAACAAGTGTCGAGATGCTTCTCTGCACAGCGCAGCGGCCCTGGTCGGGGAACGCAGGAGCCACTGCACTCAGTGCAGTGGGAAGCAATGCACCCCACTGCACTGAGACCTCAGCACTGCTGGGCCTGGGGCCTTGGCTGCAGGGCACAGGCAGAACGTGGCGCTGGCTGCTCTGGGGGCCCAAAGTGCCTTTCTCCCTTTTGCCTGTGAAAGTCTCGGGGCTCAAATTCCAGATCACCCACCTTCTGGGTGAAAAGCCAGGCAAGAGCCTCCCTCTAGTCCCTGTTTCCTGCATCGTGAAATGGGAAGAAGAGTAGCATTTGCCTCTGGGGTTCCTGGGAGGATCAAAATGGCTGGAGATGCAGGCAGCTCTCCCAACACTGCCTGGCACACGGCGAAAAACGGCCTTGGCTGCCTTTATCCATGCTGCCCCTGCCTTCCTCCACGGTGCCTCCCTTGGCACCCTGCTTGATGCCTGGCAAGGGCGTGGGCCCTCCGAGCCTGGCCCTGGGGCACAGGAATAGAGGGAGCCATCCATTTGTCTGTCTTTTTCTTGGCGGGAGGGGTGGTGGTTCAAATTAAATTTCAGTTTTATCCTTTGTAGTTTCCTACACAATAAATCATCCCATTTCCACATAAGGCGACATGCTTTTGTGAGAAAGCCTCATGTCTTGGCTTGCATGGATGGCAGATACTCAGCCCTTTAGGTCTGTTATTCTCGTCCTGCTCCTCAGCTCTGGGTCACCTTGGATCTGGATAGGATTTCAAACTGGCAGAAGCAATTACAAGGATGATACAAAGAACTGTGCACCCAGATTCACCCATTGTTCACTCACTCGCCACCCGGCCCCCTTCACACACATTCGCATGCACACATGTGCCTACACACACATCCACATGTGCACACACCATTTTTCCTGAGCCATTTGAGAGAAAGTTGCAGACATGCCCTTTCATCCCTAAACATCTTCAAACTCAGGATATTGAGCATTGCTACAGTTCTATCATCTAACCCACAGGCCACACACCATTTTACCAGTTGTCCCAATAATGTCCTTTGGGATTTTCCTGGTTCCAGGTCACCCCTGCACTTAGTGGCCATGTCTCCTTATCCTGGAACAGTTCCTCAGTTGTCCTTGACCTTGACATTTTTTGAGAGTCCAGGCTAGTTGCTTTGCAGAATGTCCCTCAGTTTTGTTTGGGTTCTTCATCTTGAAAGCTCACACTGCACCACTTGTTTTACTACGTGTCCTGTAACCCTTGATGGCTCTGTCTGGCTGGTGGTCACACCCACATTTTGCATGTGAGTGAACTAAGGCATAGGAGGTCAAGCAATTGATCTATCTGTGCTCACATTTCCAGGAAGTGGCAGAGCTGGGATTCAAATCCAGTGTTTTCTAGTCTGCCTGCCCCTCACTAAGAATAATGACAGCAAGTAGAACAACAAAGCTGTACTCAAGCACTCACTGTGAGCCAGGCAGCGTGCTGAGCATCCTCACCCCATTCCTGGAAGGCAGCTGCTCAGACCAGCCCTGATTCACAGATCAGAGGGGCTCACCAATGGGGACTAGCCCTGGCCCCGGGCAGCGTGTGTCCTGAGTCTGCACAGGTTGCCTGTGCGCTTGGGTTTGCTGGATCCCCTAGTCAGGGCAAGCATGTGAGCCAGGCTCTGCTGACCTCCCAGTGTGCATGTCCTTTCCCAGGGCCTTCTCCAGGAGGAGTGAACACATCCCAAGGCTGAGGCTGCTCTTGGGGTCTTCCTGGCGGGGAGGACTGGTTGGCGTTTGGATGATTTCCAGGTCAGGAGTATCCGCATGGCCATTCATTTGATGGTGGGCTCATGTTCTGCCCAGCAGCTCAGGGCTCTGCCTGTGGGTGGCTGGTCCTGGCTGCTGGCCCTGCCCAGTTGGCGCCACTGCCCAGGCAGCATTTTGGTGACATTCAAGGCTGCTACCCTGGGAGGAGGTAGCTTTTCTCGCCTGAGAGCTGGTGATTAATTCAGTCCTGTATGTCATATTCCATGCTCTGGCTTCCGGGTTGTGGGGAGGAGTAGGCGCTCTGAGATGTGACACGCTTGGAATTCTCTAGCAGAGCAAGGAAGGTCCCTGAGCATGAAGACCAAGGGGCCTGCACCTGGGCCCCTGTCTGCCTCTCCCCTCCTGGGATCTTGGGGGTCCAGGGTCTACCTGTTACCGGCATGCTGGCTCCTTATTCATCAGAACACAGCACTGGGGAGTATTGTCAGCATCCTGAGAAAGCCCGTGCTCCCCTGGTTCAGGTGCAGGTGCTGGGGATGTCTGTCAACTGCAGAGCAGGTGACTGTCCTGTCCTTGGGACAGTGTGTCAGCAGGAGGGCCTAAGAGCAGCGGTCAGGCTCAGGCATGGACACAAGCTGTGTGGATGCCCCCACTCAGCTCCCTCCTCTGTCAGGCTGGCTAGATCCTGAGGACGAGGTAGCCCTGTCACTCTGTGCTGGCCCAGCCTCTTTTCTCCTTGGCTTGTCTCTGCAGGTGGGAAGTGACCCTGCCTCCTGCCAGGCTCGGTGCATTGAAGGGAGGCTGCGACTGTTGCACTCTGACCGCCCTGGCCAGCCCAGGACTACCCCGCTCCCCCGCACTTTGGCAGGGAGCCTCCGGCTGGGCACACTGCTGGGAGGAACTTAGAAATTTTACTTCCCTAATTTCCATGCAACATTGCTTCATGGTTTAAAACATTAATTAAAAACATTAATCAGTTTGACTGCCTCAGAAGGAGGTTCTTTTTTGGCAACAGCTGACTTTACAAGGAGGAGGGGAGAGCTTGCAAACCAGTGATTCAGCTGCATATTTGTTTGGTATCAGGCAGCCTCCTCCGCCTCTCTGAGCTTTAGTTTCCGCGTCTGTAACATGGGGCTGAAGCTCCTACTCTGGCCTGACCTCCGGGGATCACAGCGGGTGCTCAGCGAGGTCTTGTAGGATATTCCTTAGCCAAGTGTCCTGTAGAGGACAATTGCACTGTTGTTAGGATTCGTTACGTTTCTCCAGTGCCTTACAGTGTATAGATCACAGCTTGCATGCACAATCACACGAGGCATGCCTGGCAGATGGTAAGGGGGTCATGTCAGGCCCTTGGGCTTGAACCACAGGCTTTTACCTCCATTTCATTGGCTTCGCTTGCTCCCTGCACCTGTGTGCTGAACCCCTCCGCTGACTGAGCCATTGTGGGGAGATAGGTAGAGGGGAGACCTTTTCCCCCTTATTATGTGGAGACTAAGAAGTTAAGGCCCTGCACTTGCTTAAGTGGTCGGTCTGCATAATTGCTGACATTTCTAAGTGTTCATCATGTGCCGAGCCACGTGCTCAGCTCTGCAAAGGTTCTTGCTTTAAGAGCAAACCTTTAAGATGAGAAACTGAGTCTCAGGGAGTAGCTAGATCAGGCTTCTAAAAAGATGTTTTCAGTAGAACTGGGATGCTAATCCAGGCAACCTGACAAAGGGCCCCCAGTCACCTGGGAAGCTGGGCTGCTGCCCTCTCGGGGTAAGGAAGCCAGTGCATTTTGACTGTGAATAAAGGACAAGCACCTTTTCTCTCTGGGCAAAATGCCTGAGAAGCATGGGAGGCTGCCCATGCGGGACCATGGGTGTGCTGAGGAGGGCATCTTTCTGAGCACTCTCTCAGCCAAGGGGACTTCTCCGAGTGAGGGGGGATCCTCCCTCTCTCCTTCTGGGAACTGGTACTCTGAGCAATGGACAGATCCAACCAACGCTCGAAGGGAGGAACTGTGGTAGGTCCCCTGTGACACTAACACATCCAAGGGAAGAAGAGGACAACCAGAGGGCCTCAGAGAAGCAGATTATGGCCAACTTCTCCTGGAGGAGAGAGGGAATTGATGGTGGGGAATTCAAGCCACCTGGCCTCTTGTCCTTGGGGCAAGGATTTTTCTCTAGCTGTCTCCAGAATCCAGGGCAAATTCCCCTTCAGAACTTGTCAATCTTCTTTCTCCTGAGTCTGTGTTCACTGAGTTCCATCTTCTTGATGATTTGGCATCCAAGATGCGGTGGAGTTTGGGAGAGGGGAGGTCTGGAAAGATCACTCCTTTGTGATGTAATAATGTGGTTTTCTGGGGGTCCCCTGCATCCCTTGACGGAGAGGAAGTCAGCGCCTGAGCTCACCCCCCTGAACATTGGTCTTGCTCCAGGGTATCTAAGGGAGTCCCATCCTCCCAGAACTGGTAGGACCAGGGGTGGCCCTCTCTTTCCATTCCCCACACTGTCTCCACCTCATGTAGCTGTCTTGATAATCAGTTAGGATAAGAATCCCTGGTGACTTTTTTTTTTTTTTCCGGTCCCCCGAGTAATTCAGGATTTTCACTGATTGCCTCTTACGGGATGACAGCGTGAGGCCCAGATAAAAGTTGCAGTGGAGTTAATCTGATATGGCTCCCATGGTTTACACAATCCCCATGTCAGTGGAAGGCCTTAGGCACCAGGCACAGACCATTCTCAGAATGAAGTGATTAGGTATGTTTCTTCTTGCCCTCTAGCCAGAATTCCTGGAGTCAGATGCAGGCAAGCTGTAGTGGGTCAAGGCAATGGGATGGATGGGGGAGGGCTTGGGAGTCAGGAAGATCCGGCCATCAAGCCTGGCGTAGCCTCTTACGCGATTTCTGAAATACAGAGCTATCAAAACCGATTTCATGGGATTAAATGGCCTAATGTATTTAAATATCTATCACAGTCCTTGACACATCATAGTGGCTCAATAAATGTCTGCTCTTCACTGCTTCTCATTTAGCATGTAGTAAATAGGTACTTATTACTTAAATGAATGAAATATCCCATGTCACCATTGATACTAATAATTCTCTGTCCTTTTCTTATGTATTTCCAGAATCCTGTTATACTTGGAATGTAGGTGCCTTTAATCTGAAAAACACAAAAAAGCACTTATTCATTCAGCACTCCAGAAGGATATGAGGACTGGCCTTCCCTGAACTAAAACTGTAATACCTTGAGATCTGGACAATTCAGGTAAGAGAATTTCTCCTCTTGAGCCTTATGGGACCAAAGATGGCTTTTGGAATTGGCAATGTCTTGCAACACAACTTGCGTTGTGGTTCTTGATGTCTCAGCTTGTCTTCCTTTGCTGGTCCACAGTGCTCGGGACGTCAGCTTTCTGTCACCTCATCCTGACACCCAGGGCGTGGTCAGGCTCTTTGGTCACCTGGATCTTGTGTCTTGGGAGCTCTCTCTCCTTCTGTCCAGCCGAGAGGATGTCCCCAGTCCTGTCCTCCTGGCCAGATCCTGTTAAGGAATGTGGAGACTATACCAGGGAGACAGGGGAAAGTGCTCTGGGGGTTAGTGATTAGGTCAAAGTGCCTTTGGGGACATCTAGAAGGTGATTGATTCCTCCTGCCCCATCTCCTGGAATGCCGGCTCCAGGGGCACAGGTCTGAGGCTGCCTGAGGTGGAGGGTGAGTGGTGAGTGAAGGGCTCCAGGCAGACCCAGATTCTCCTGGTTTGGCTACTTGCCTCCCCTTGGGCCAATCACTCTGCATCTCCAAGCCTCGATGTCTTCCTTGTGAAATAGGGATCTTATTAGCGCCTGCCTCAGGAGGATGTTGTGGGTATTGAATGAGACAGTGGAGATAAGGAGCTTAGCTGCTGCCTGGCAGCAAGGAGGAAATGCTCCAAAATGAGAGGGGTTTTTTTTTTGTTTTTTTTTAATTCATTAATTATACAATTTAGAGGTCCTACCATGCAGCAGGATGTTCTGAAGTTTTCAGCCTGCTCTTCTCTCTGCCTTTCACCTGCCACCAAATCTGCTTTGGTAAAGCTTGTGAATCACTTTGCATGGGGTGCTCAGACCCTCACCCTGAGTGGGGTCCTGCCTCCTTCACTCCAAGTGGTTTCTTTCCTCTCCCCTGCCCATGCTCCCAATCACTGGTGAGCTTGTCCCAGCAAAGACTCCCTTGCAGGTTCCCACACCCCAGGGTTGGGTCACCCATTGTTCATATTGGAAGAACAAATGAATGAGTCATCAGAAAGGAGGGAATAGAGAGGGAAAGAGAGAGCTCGGAGAGAACCAAAAGAAGGACGTTTTTGAAGATTTAGAGCAATGAATGGGATCAGTTGCAATTTTTTTAAGGAGAGGTTAAAGAGAATAAATAACATGAAAAAAAGGTGTATGATTCCTACCCCAAATTTGAAAACTATGCAAGGATGGAAAGGTAGGGGAGAAAGGTGGACCAGTGCAAAGACAGGTGGGGAAGGCAGAACTGAGAGGGTAGCAGAGAATTGGGCTAATGTGGTATTTATGTCATCTCCGGACACACAAGGATGGAGAGCAGGAGACCGCGCCTTTCAGCCAAGTTCGGGGGACTGATGCTCACATAGGACCCTCCCAACTCAGCAGGTGTGTGGGAGGCCTGGGTATAGCCTCTTCAGACCCTTGTAAGATGCATGTGAATAAAACCTGCTAGGAGCTGAGCAGAATTGCAATTAAGAAGCCTTTCTGTCCTATGGAACTCCACACCCCTGTGCACTCATTCCCCATTCATTTGCATTTCATTATCTAATTTCCCACTTCTGGTGTCAGAGCTCTTCTGCAGTGAGGACAGCTGACAGGACTTCCTGTGCATGGGCTGTATGCCCTTTTTTGGCCTTCAAACTCTCAGCCGGTCCTAGAGCCCACGCTCCCAAGCCAGGCAGGCGGCTTGGGGCGCGGACGCAGACTTGCAGCAGCCCATGGTCACCACTCCTTGTAGCACCTGGAGGGCTGGGACAGCTGTTCCCTTTGTGGGGAAAGGGCAGATGGGACCCCAGTCCCTGGGGTAGAGGATCTGAAAGCTGGAAGAACTGCCTCTCCCACTGCTGTGGCTGTAGAAGTGGACAGCGTGGCCTGAATTCTGTGAATGGAGGGGAGGCTTGGCAGGCCTGCCTGAGGGTGACGGGACAGGAATGTCCCTAGAATTCAGCCGCAGGGGGCAGGCAGAGCAGGAGTGGGTGCCGGGATTCGTAGCTGCCCAGTCCAGAACACATCGAGGCAGGGCTGGCCTGTAGCAGGCGCTGTGACACCGGACCAAGCATTTGTGTTTGTGCCTGTGGCTCTTCTTGCCTTAAGAGCATGGCTCTCCCACTGGGAGCCTGTCCCCCTGTATCCCTGCCTAGAAATCTGCTCATCTGGGCTGCTGTGCGCCCATAGGAAGGGACCTGCACCTTTCTTGTGCGTGAGCCTGGGCCATTTGACTCTTCCCGCTATGGAACAGAGGTACCGGTAACCTGGATTCCACCCCAGCTCCCCTTCCCACTCGCCTGTGACCCTGGGCAAGTCCTTTACTGCTTTCCAAGCTCTTTCTCAGCTGCAGGATGGACTGGTCTTCCCCTTGCACCTGCTTACCTGTCTGGACCCCAACTTTCTCAGTGTTACTCTGTCATCCAAGCCCCTCCTTGGACATGCACAAAAGGTTGGCTTCTTCTCTTTGACCTCCACCTTGCTCTTTTGACCCCTGTCTTGGCCCTGCCTCCCCTAGACACATCTCTTGGCTCCTGGGTAGCTGACCCACTCCGGTCCTTGTTCGGAAGGTGTCTGACGGCTCCTGCTGGCTGGGGACAGGGGCCAGCTTTGGTCTTTAGCCATAGGCATGTGTGTAAAGGTTGTTTCCTGTATTCAGTGTCCATCACACAAAAAATACTCCAGCCCACTCAGAGCATCTACCCTTGAAACGGAAATGTCTTTTTAATACACCTCTGGTATTGGCTCATTTTGTTATTATTCCTTCTTGTGGTTTCATATTGAGGTTTTTGGCTCATTGCGTTTGACGGGGAGTTTATTTTTAGTAGCGAAGGCAGTTCAATTAACGTCTAAACATGAGAGCAAATGCAGAGGAGGAATACATAAGATAGGGGAAAATGTACCTAATTTCATGTTATTTATTTATTTTTTTTATAAAATCAGTCACACAGCAGACACTGAGCTTCCTCAGCAGTGCCTATTATGAGCTCATGCAGGGGGTGGAGCGGTGGCTGAGTCACCCCCCAAAACGAAAACTTTTCTGGGTTCCTCCCTGTCCCACTTGTCCAGCGGCTGGCCACACAATGAACAAGCGCCACAGTTATTATGGGTTATAGTTACTATACTGATATTAAAGGCTAGACTGCAGAACCTTCACCTCCTGCTATCTCCCCAGTGGGTTCCGTTCTGTCTTCAGAAGCGGCATCTGGCCTCTCCCTGGACTGGAAATATCTTAAGAGAAGGCTCTGGGTCTCGTTCTCTCGCCCTGGATTTTGGCATCATGACAGACACCCAGGTCAGGCTTGGGCAAGGCCTCTTTGGATTGACTGAATTTTAGGACCCTGAGTTTGGGCAAGCATGGCAGAAACAATTCAGAGAGAACTTCAAGGGCTCCTCAGCCTGCTTTCGGAAAAATATAAGCCCGCTCTCTGCTTAGCACTTTAAGTTTACAAAGTTCTTTTTTGTCTTTTCTCCTTTCTTGTTTTCCATGGCTATTTACTGAGAACCTGCCATGTGCTACTGTGTGCGGTGCCTGGGAGAAAGCAGAGAAAAGCCACCATTCTTGCTCTGAAGGACATCCTGAGACACACTGGCTCTATGGCCCCCTGTTGTTATGCACTGCGCGTGTAGGCTCCTGCAGGTTCATATGCTGAACCCCAGTCCCCAGTGTGCTGGTATTGGGAGGTGGGGCCTTTGGGAGGTGACTCAGTCAAGGCCGTGGGGGCGGAGCCTCCATGGTGGGATTAATGCCTTTATAAGAAGAGAGATCAGAGAGTAGCCACAATCAGAGGACACAAGAGATGGCTTTCTGTAAACCAGGAACTGACCCACTGGCGCCTTGATCTGGTACTGCCAGCCTCCAGAATTGTGGGAAATACATTGCCATTGTTACAAGAAGATACCAGTCTCTGATATCTTCTTATAGCAGCTTCCGCTAAGATACCGTGCTTTACAGATGCGTGGACTGGATACTCAGAGCAATGGCATTAATGAGACCTCCCTGCTAGCTGGTGATCCAGGCACCCAAACCTGCACCCACCTCACGCTTAATCGCAGGCATGTCCGGACTCTCTCTCCTCGCTGCTCCTCTTGGCTCCATCTGTGCCTCCCTCTTCTTTTTCCTCTGCTATCTCCCTTTCCCCCTCTCCCAGCTCTGTTTGTTTTTACTAGAGAATGAGGACCTGCCTGTCTCCAGTGCCTCCTGGGGGAACAGATCCGATGTTAGGGGGCTGTGCTGCAGTCCTGCCGGCGTGGGGTCTGTCTCACCTGGTCTGCCTCCCCAGCACCTGCGGGTTGACTGGTGGAGAGCTGGCAGGCTGAAGCCGTCCCTCCCTCCCTGCCCTCTGCCACTTGGCCACTCTGAGCCAGGTGCCGTGCCAGCTGTGGAGGCACAGCAGAGCAGATACACAATATACTGGGGGAGACCGTGTATTTAAACAACTGTATTTGCACAGTGTTACAGACTAAATGCCTGTGGCCCCCTCCCCGATCTCCCACCCTAGCTTCACATGCTGAGGCCCTAACCCCCAGTGTGGCTGTTTGAACGAGGGGGTAATTAGGGTTGAATGAGGTCACAAGGGTAGGGCCCTGATCTGATAGCACTAGTGTCCTTACAAGAAGAGACACCACAGAACTCTGTCTCTCTCTCTCTGCCGTGTGAGGACACAGTGAGAAAGTGGCTGTCTGCAAACCAGGAAGAGAGCTCTCACTAGAAACCACATCAGCTGGAACCTTGATCTGGCCTCCAGGACTGTGGGAGAATAGTCGCCTGCTAGGTAGGCTGTGCAGCCTCTGATGTTTGCTCTGCAGCTGGAGCCTGCAAATACGGAGGGTGCACCGCTCAGGCCCTGTGGGGCAGTTCGATGGCCTTGGCCCCAAAGCCACTCTTTGAGTGTGAGTTTCAGCTGATACCTTTAACCAGCACAACCTCATCTTTAAAACAAGGAGCTTGAATCGAATAACTGTAAGAGTCCCTGTTGGCCTGTTGTGTTTGTATCCTGACTTTCAGTGGTTTCCTATGCTGGGCCCAATTGATGATGTCCACTGTT